ATAGGCGACGACAGCGAAAAAGATATCAAAGACGTAGCAGTCGGCCAGTCACACGTCCTAGTCCTAACCACCGACGACGAAATCTGGGGACGGGGAGACAACTCCTCTGGCCAACTCGGTTTAGGCAGAGAAACAAAACTAGTCACAGAATGGACAAGACTAAAGGGGGAGTTTGATCACGACAAGAAGAAAATAAAGGGTGTTTGGGCGGGAGAAAGAAATTCATTTGTTGTTGTCCAGCCTTGACATCACCAATGTTAGTAGTGAAAGTGAATCACATGACAGCTGTTCTATGGCTTGTATTGTTCCTTCTTTTCTTCCTTGTCCTGTCTAGTGTACAAACATGCCCCGCAGAGAAACACCTCGAGAAGAACGCGCTCTCATATCATTCATCGTCGTCAAGAGAGAAAAAACAACACACAAAACTATCCCCCAAATCATAGATTCGTGAGATAATCCTCAATCTCCTGGGGGGTGAGCTTCCGGAAGCGGGGTCCCACCGCCCCTTCGACGCCCTCGACGCCGAGGAGGTGGTCTGCTGGGGGTCCGACGATACCTATTGTCGCAAATGTCAGTAAATACTCTTGATGCAGCATAACAACAGCAACAAAACCCACCAATCTCAATAGTCTCCCCATTCATCTCCCCCTCAATCGTCTCCTTCAACGTCAAAAGCGCAATATGCACCGCATCCTCCAGCTCCAACCCCTCCGTGTACCTCTTCTCCAAAAATGTCTTCGCCGTCGTCGCACTCTTCCCAATCGCCGTCGCCTTCCAGGGAAAGTAACTCCCCGAGGGATCGACCTGATACAACATCGGCCCGCCCTTCAAGATACCACCCGTCTTCCCGCTCAGCTTCTTGCCCTCCTCGCCCTCCTTCGCCTCAATCTCCTCCTCTGGGAGGATACCCTCATCCCAACCGGCAATGAGGAGAGAGACACCGTAGGGACGGACACCACCGGATTGTGTGGCTTCTTGCATGACGCGGGCGACGTCTTGGACTAGGATGCGGGTGGGAGGGTATTCATTGTAGATGCGCTTATAGCCCGTGTGGGAGACTTTGCGGGCGCGGTCGACGAGGACTCGGTAGTCGGGGCCCATGCCCGAGTAGACCATGCCGATGTTGGGGGTGATGAGGCTGATTTTGGAGAGGGACGAGGGGTCGGCGAGGGGGGAGGAGGATTTCTTTTCTGTAGCGAGGACGATGCCGTTCGTGGCTGTAAAGAAGTAGCATATGTCAGTTATAGGTTTCAATATGGTGTACGATATGACGGAGGATGGTGGGATGTTTGTCGACGGTGGGCGTTGGTAATGGCGGGGAGGGGCAGGAGCTCACCCTTGATGCCTAGGGCTGTTACACCTTGGTTGACGGCGTTGAGGGCATATTCTAGGATGTGTTAGAAATGGCTGTTCGTCTTTGTAGATTATGACCTTCTTGTCGCAAGACAGGACCCAGTGGGTGACGAACCGATCTGTACCAGCTTGCCGCTATTGCAATGTCAGCGATGTCCCATGTTCAGAGCTTCCGGCAGCCAAGCAACCCAACTTACCTGGGAGAGAATGTTGTCAGAGAGAAGGAGTATCTGTCCGCCATGGTGCCGGCTTGGAGAGACTATGGAATGGGGTTGGGTAGTAGAGGCTGGTGCGTGGTCGTTGCGAGGGAGATCGTCTTCGAATGTGGTTCCCAAGTTGGCGTTGCAAGGCTGCTGATGTCGGTCGTCCAAAGCTCCCCCAGGCACGGTGAAGTTGCGCGTTCGACAGGCCCAGCACCGACAGCCTGCCGCAGCAAGAGAGAGAGCTTGGGCCACTTCCTCCTCATTGGCTGAAGGTGGGGCAAGCAGAAGCCTGGGACCTGGTGGTGTCCACAGAGGGGCTAAGCTGATTAGGGAAGTGGTGGGTTGAAACATAAAAAAGTTTCCCGCCGATGGTGAAGAACTTTCCCTTTGTTTCTTCTCTCTGCAGTTTCGCAGAGAGCCTCGGAAATCGCCTCATGGCCAACGGGCAAAAGGTAAGAACAAACTGTCTTTGAGACCGCTTGGACCCGACGAGAGATGTGAGAGTTCCTCCATCATGGGCTTCTTTTCGGGGTGGAATTGTCCATGCCACCGGCAGTTGGCGCAGTTTTGAGACCACCTGGCTGCTTTTACGATTACAGTTCCGAGCACTTCCCCAAGCTTCCTCTCAGCTTCCCTTCCATACGCCTATTTAAACATTTCCCCGCCATGTTCTTTTTGGATGACCGCATGACCACATTTTGATTACAGGACTATACTTGGACGACACACAGACAACATGGCTACTGAATCTTTGGGACAGCAATGGTCATGGCCCGATGAAGTACGTGCTTCATCTCCTGAGCATCCGCACCAAGATAGCAATTGGACGACAACACCTCGGGCACCCGCCACGGATGCACCTACCGGCACGGCGCCAGAACCGACACCAGCAGAACCACCACAGCCGCGTTACAAACCACGTACTTGCCGGATATGTTTGGAAGTCGTGCAACCATCTACCGAGCTCGACGATACCGTCGCCGGGCGGGTCTTTGCGTCAAAAGCTCGTGTACGATATGTTTCCGAGGATCCCGAGCTGGGTCGGCTCATGAGCCCATGCAATTGCAAAGGCTCTCAGAAATATGTTCACGAGGGTTGCCTCCAGGCCTGGAGAAATGCTGCGCCAATGTCGGAGAGGAATTACTGGCGATGTCCCACTTGCAAGTTCGAGTATCGTATGGAGCGCTTGAGATGGAGCCGATGGCTGTCAAGCAAGGCGCTACGGGCAGCCATCACAATCTTGGTGATGATGATCACAGTCTTCATACTTGGATTCATTGCCGACCCCATCATCAGATATGGCGCCGACCCTCTGGGTACCATCGCCGGAACTTTATTGGGGGAGTTTGACGAAGAGTTCGACATACCAGTGCAGCCACTCGTCGAGGAATTGGAGTCAGACAATTGGTATATGCACTTTGTCAAGGGTTTCCTGTCCCTTGGCCTATTGGGTTTTATCAAGTCAATGTTGGCCATCTCGCCTTTTCAGATTTTCAATATCCGAGTTGGCGGTGGTCGTCGCAGAAGAAGAGGTGGGACAGAGGGCATCAGTTGGTTTGTTGTGGTTGTTGGGGTTGTTACATTCTTGGCAGTAAGTGACATCTTCCTCTCTCCTCTCACCGAGTTGACAATACTGACCGATCATCATCAGGCAACCTGGCATGCCGTCAGTCATTTCAGCGCAAAGTTTCTTGAGAAGCTCAGCGACCGTGTTGTGGATGTCCAAGGAACGGAGCCCGAAGATGACGAAGATGACGAAGACGGTGAGACCGATGAGTCAAGAAAGGATAGGTGATTGTGGCCAACAGTGATTGTTCGAGTTCTAGAAGCTCCCAGTTCTCCTCAGTCCCCCTAGAGCCCCCCCCACCTGTACGGAGTACTGCACACTCTTAAGTTTCCACAGCTGCTCTTCCATGCTGTAGCTTACTAGTCTGTGTGCAGAGATCAAGCGTGGCAATAGCTGGCCGAATTTGGGCGTCTTGTCCTGTTCATGTTTGGCTTTGCGATGCGGCAGTCCTGTTGGTCATCTTGAGGGCCTCTTTGGGCGTTACTCATTGTGCTGCTTCCTCCTCAGCTTCATGCTGATGTACGAAGTGGGTTGAAGTTGCCAGCAGGATTGGTACAGTTATGTCCATCTCTTGTATATAGGGTGATTCTATGAACATATAATCGTACTTGTGGTTCAATTGGGTATGATGCTTGTCTGGTGATGGTGACATGGGGAAGCTGATAAGAGATAAGCTGCCGGGCTGCTAGCGTCATTGCCGGGCCCCTGAATTCTATAAAATGTGGGACCGGCAACGGCAGTCGGGGCAGTGGCTGGCCTGCAACGAGCTGACACTTGTCAGCTGGAAATAATTTCCAAAACGCGCGCCGGGGGCATCCAGGTTCCTGTTGTCTTGCTGAACGAGGAGGGTTGTTTGAGGATCCAGCGGTGTCGTCTTTCAATGTATTTGCCCTGAGCCGCCGACACATCGCCATATAACGGTTTCCTTGGCACTCTTATCTGCCCGATGATTCCTGTACGAGGCCAGCCAATCTCGCCAAATGTCTAGATCTTGATCCATGTGCGACCAACCTTTCCAGAACTTGCGGCCTTCCTCCTAGCCATTGATCTCGACTGTCACTTCGACCCTCGACTGCGCCGACAGTATTATATACGCGAGCCCCTTGACCAGCGAGAGCGCGGCCACGGCTCCCACACCAAGTCCCACGGGCTCAGGCTTTTTTTTACGTACGTAACAAGCACGCAGCGCAACACATTCGAAGGGCCTCCCCGATTTCGCCGTGACACACGTCCTTCCGGCAAGCAATCTCGACTGGTATCTTCTGGAAGACTAGGTGGAATCGAACCTGAGCCTTGGGAAGATCCAAGCCACCACGAGACAAGATGCATTTCGCACTACCCCCACGAAAGACGTCGATTCCTCCGCCGTACATGCCTCGGTCGAACCGTCTACCCATGCTACGGAGAAGCCGCTTCAAGCTCATCGCGATCACGGGACTGTTCTTCTTGACGGTAATATACCTGCTCACCCGCGGCAATGGGCATCCAAAGCTTAAGAAGCGCATGCCTACTGGTAACCCGCCGGTGGTGGTGGTGACGGTGTTCGACGAGGCCAAGTACGGCAAGGGGTACATCGACACGATCAAGGAGAACAGGATAGAATATGCCAAGAAGCATGGTATGTTGATGCCGCTACAAAGCCACACAACAGCCGGCTAACAGGACTGACAGGATATCAAACGTTCTTTGCCAATGTCGGCGACTATGATCTGAAGGGTGCGCCGGGATCGTGGACCAAAGTGGTGGCCATGCGCCATGCTCTCACCAAGTATCCCGAGGCCTACTTCCTCTGGTATCTGGACCAGAACGCCTTCGTGATGAACCCGCAGCTGAAGATTGAGGACCACATTATGAAGACGGCCAAGTTGACGGACCTCATGAAGAAGGACCATCCCGTTGTCCCGCCAGACAGCATCATCAAGACATTTTCCCACCTTACCGGGCAGGACGTGGACTTTATTCTCACGCAGGACAAGGACGGGTTGTCTGTTGGGAGCTTCATCGTTCGCAACGGAGAATGGGGCGAGTTCTTCTTGGACACTTGGTTTGATCCTATTTACCGGAGCTACAACTTTCAGAAGGCCGAGACACACGCCTTGGTAAGACTTGTTTGCCATAACTTCCAAAGCTGCCAGGCTTACTGACCTCCTCTAGGAGCACATTGTTCAGTGGCATCCCACCATTCTCGCCCGTCTCGCCATCATCGATCAGCGTCTCCTGAACTCCTACAGCCAAGGCAACAAGGGTGATCAGTACAAGGACGGAGACATCGCCGTCAGGCTCGTCGACTGTGTATCAGCCGGGGCCAACGCATGCGAGACCGAGTCTCAAAGATTTGTCCAGCAATGGCGAACCTCTTTTGGCAAATCCTGACGAAGGAACGGGGCACCTGAGGATTTCGAAGATTAAAGCAATAAACAGACTCAAACGATGACGACGGATTAGACACGAATTCCGAACCAGACCCTACTTTTTCGGGCACACAGGCGGATTGTGCATTGCGCCATTATCAGCATCACCACTGCGGGCGTTTAAATCATTTTTGACTTCATACCATGGGACTTGGGTTGAAACAGTCAATACAGGCGTTAGGATTTATTTTTCATCTTTTGGAGGGGGGTCTTTTGGACGGAATAGCGATTGGGGGTGGCTGCACAAAAAAAGCGAGGGGGGAGGCCAGGGGCTTTTTGACTTGCTTTGGTGTGCTGTTTGAAATTGTAGGCACGCGCAAGACATGGGTCGAGCGGCGTGGTGGGGGAGGGAAGACATGAATGAGGATGATGTCGGTAATATTGCGGGCAATGATGTGATGTTGCTGGCTGTTTTTAAAAGAAGTCACACACTGGGCTGTGCAATATGAGAGAGGAAAGGGTCTGCGGAGGGAGGGGGGGGGCGGGGGGGTTGGTTTATCTTGTATATCAATCATGGCCAGGGGGGAAAGGATCAAAGCATATGGTTGATGCATTTGTGTGTGTTGTTTTGTTGATGTTTGCTTTGAGATGAGGTGTTGTTTGAGATAGAACGACAGGCAGGTGCTGCAGACCAACTGACCTGGGGACTGTAGAGTTCATGGAAAAACCCAGGGTTGCAACTTATCACTTATCGAGTCATCACCAGTCAGTGACCTCAGGCGAGCTGGCTTCGCTTCGGGATGGTAACGTAACGGTCGAGCAGTAGCGGCGCAGCGCCAAGCACGATCGTGAGCCAGAGGCAGGTGCCACGATTGCATCAGATGGTCAGCTTTGTCCAGATTTCGTAACCAGGCCTCGGAGCTTTTGCTGTGTTGAGAGTGTGACGACGACCTGGGAGGCGGGGAGGGTAGTTTTGGGTGAAGGTATCCTTTTAATCGATCATGCTGAATGGGTGATTGAGTGAGTGTCGTGTTTGGATGAAGAGCATTGGTGGCACACCGGCAGCTGTTCTAGCGGAAGACATAGGAAATGCGAATATGTAGGAGGGAAGCTATGTTTTATCGAATGGGATCAGCTACACAAAAAAACCCAGCATGTGATTGTCCTCAGCCAGCGAGGTGCATGACAACGGCTCACTCCCATCTCCAACTTTTGTGTGGGGTTGCCGGGAGCCGCGGGTTCTTTCACACATCGCCATCGCGCGCGGGCAGGCTACCACGCTAATTGGCCCTGCTGGAGAGACAGCCTCCGCTCTTTTGTCTCCAGCGTCACCCGCTAAAGCAAGCCCAGAAGCACTTCCCCAGACATTACTTCCCTTCCATTCATCCCACTTTCACACCACCTACGTGAATCTGTAGGGGGGACTCATCTTGACCCGTTTGTTTTCTTTGGGTCAATTGCTTTTGTTTGTTTGTTTATTTGTTTGTTTATTATAAAGGGGGAATATTTCGACACGAGAGACTGGATTGGTAAAACAACAACAGATCCAAATCTCAAGATGCCTGGCACATCGCGCATGCCAGTTAGCCTGCGGGAGGGCTTCAACAATGTGAGGAATCGGTCGAGGGCGGGGAGCCCGTTGGCGTTGGGCATGTTGAACTTGGATTTGTCAGTGAATTTTTTCCCTCTTTTCTCATGTCCCTTTTCTACCTATCTCGGGAGAATCGGTTTATACCAAGCACGCAACTCTGTGATGCAAGCTGCCACACTCCAACTTTCACATAACATCCCGCCCCGAGCGTTGCATATCATTGCCAAGCTCGGCCTCCAACCAACCTACCCACCATCTTGCGCCAACCTCCACAACTGACAAACCCTCTCCAACAACAACAGAGCCCGCAACCTAATCTTCTTCCTCTTCGTCCTCCGCTGGACCCGTCGCGTCCTATGGAAACTCAAAGGCCGCGGCCTCATCGGCACAATCGTCGAGCTCTACGTCGACCTCCGCCGCATTCTGTACGGTTACTTCCTCCGGATGCCCGGCGTGCGAAACCAAGTCAAGAAACAGGTCGATGAAGCAGTGGGAAAACTCCAGACAAAACTCGTACCGCTCAACGCGACTCGCTATCTCACGCTGCCGAAAGAAGGATGGGACCAGGATGCCGTCCGGAAGGAGTTGCAGACGCTGGCGGATATGGACCACACCCGCTGGGAGGACGGGTTTGTTTCGGGCGCGGTTTATCATGGCGAGGATGAGCTGCTGAAGCTGCAGACGGAGGCGTATGGGAAGTTTACCGTGGCCAATCCTATTCATCCGGATGTTTTCCCCGGGGTGAGGAAGATGGAGGCCGAGGTGGTGGCGATGGTGCTGGGGCTGTTTAACGCGCCTGCTGGGGCGGCGGGTGTGAGCACCAGTGGAGGGACAGAGTCGATTTTGATGGCTTGTTTGAGTGCGAGGCAGAAGGCATACGTCGAGAGGGGTGTTACTGAGCCTGAGATGTACGCCCCCCCTATCCATTTCCCCCCCCATCTATCACCCCCCCTTTTCTAACCCTCACTAGGATCCTCCCCGAAACAGCCCACGTCGCCTTCCGCAAGGCAGGTCTCTACTTCAAGATCAAAACCCACCTGGTTGCCTGCCCAGCACCAACCTACCAAGCCGACACCCGCGCCATCGCCCGGCTCATCAACTCCAACACTATTCTCCTGGTCGGGTCAGCCCCCAACTTCCCACACGGCATCATCGACGACATCGCCGCCCTGTCCAAACTGGCAGTCAAAAAGTCTGTTCCCCTGCACGTCGACTGCTGCCTCGGCAGTTTTCTGGTGCCGTTCCTCTCCCGAGCGGGGTTCGAAACCCAGCCATTCGACTTTAGACTCAAGGGCGTGACGTCCATCTCTTGCGACACGCACAAGTACGGGTTCGCGCCCAAGGGGAACAGCACCGTCCTCTACCGGACGCAGCAGCTCAGGAGTTACCAGTACTACGTCGATCCAGCCTGGTCGGGCGGTGTGTACGCCTCCCCTGGCATCGCCGGCTCCCGTCCTGGCGCCCTCATTGCGGGGTGCTGGGCTAGTTTGATGTCGACCGGTGAGGACGGGTATCTCCAATCGTGCATTGAAATTGTTGGCGCGACTAAAAAACTTATCGCTCACATCACTACCACGTCTCCTGTTCTGGCGCAAGAGCTGGAGATCTTGGGCAACCCGTTGGTATCAGTTATTGCGTTTAAGAGCAAGACGCTGAATATTTATGACATTGCCGACGGGATGTCGGCCAAGGGGTGGCATTTGAATGCGCTGCAGAACCCGCCTGCTATTCATGTCGCGCTCACGCTGCCGATTGTGAAAGTGTGGGAGAAGCTCGCGGCGGATCTGGAGGCGGTGGTGGAGCAGGAGAAGGAAAAGGAACGGGCGAGGGTGGCGGAGGGGAAGGGGGCAAAGGGGAAGGAGGTGGGGGATAGCGCTGCGCTTTATGGGGTTGCGGGGAGCCTGCCGAACAAGAGTGTTGTTGTCGAGTTGGCGAGGGGTTTTTTGGATATTCTTTACAAGGCTTAGAGTTAGAGAGAGAGGGGAAGGGGGGGGTGGGGGGGGTGTTGTGATAATGGGGGGAAGGAAAGCGATAGATTGCAAGCAAACCAGGTTGGGTTGTGTTTATGATTTGGGAGGTGTTTCTCTTGAGGTGAAGAGTCCATGTTTTTGAACCAAGGCAGGCATGGAATTGATACATATCAAAATTCCACTCATCACATTTTTGTCATGTAAGGATCGTGGAAATATTTCTTGTTCATATTTCCATATATTCCTTCCTTTACTATACCTTGCTACTACTCCTTGCCAACTTTGGGATCCAACTTTGTTTCAATGACCATAAGATAAAAAAGGGGTATTCTACTACTCTCTCCTTCCTCTCTCTCTTTCCGACTTCAAACTTTGAAACTTCCCGTCACTCTCTCACCCTTTTGGTGAGTCATTTCAGCGAGTGACTCTTCCCCCCTCAATGAAACTTTCGACAAAAGAGACACTTCCCCCCCTTTTCCCAAGACAAGGCGGACTTAAATCGTATTCTGCCCATCCTTTCTCCCCCTTTGGCATTGGTTTGCTGCTCTCAACTCCCCTTCCATGCATGCCATAAAAATATAGCGTTTTGTGTGTGTGTGTGTGTGTGTGTGTGTGTGTGTGTGATAACATATCCCACCCATATAACGCCCCCCCCCCCCACCCTCTCCTTCCCTTCCATTCCATGAAATCTCCCTGATACCCAAAAAAAGAAAGAAAAAAAACATAAATATCATGCCACCCCGAAAATGGCAGACAGCCTCGCAGACAGGGCTAAAGGAACCAGATCACCACCTAGAGCTCACTGTCCCTCCCCCGTCCGCTCAACCAAGCATTATCAGCAACGCCCCCACTGGGATTAATAGTAGCCTCGGCGTCGCCGACCTGCCTCCTTTCCGTCACCTCGAGCTGCTCCGGGCTCTTGAGGCGCTTGCGCATGATATACCGCATCGGCAGCGTCAATCCTTGGGATGTTGTTCTAGCACCCCTCATGACGACTGGTTGCTATTGGAGTGGCTCCGACGAGCTGGACAGGCGGTTGAGGTGGAGGTAGACGTCTGTGCCGTAGCTGTTGGCCGAAATTAGTATGCTGTGACAGTTGAAAAGGGGGAAGAAAATGAACATACCCTTCCATGCTGATCAGCTTAAGGTCCCCACCGAAATACCTCGCGTACAGACGACTTATCGGCAACCCATACCCAAAACCCGCCATGGGAGCCTTAAAGTCGCTCTTGTCGAAATCAGGGTCCAGGTTTGGTGTCCTGTCGACAGTGGTGTACATGTACGTCCAAACAAGCGGGATCGAGCTGCGCGGTATACCGCCGCCCTCGTCCGAAACCTTGATCGTGATATCCTCCTTGCCCTCGGCCACAATCACCTTCGTGACGGGAAACTCCTGCTTGTCCTGGCCGTGCGTCTCGACAACCGCACGCAGCGAGTTCTTGAGCGTTTCAAAGAGCATGTGCGACAGGTGCCCAGGCACGTACATAAAGTTCAAGTTAGGATTGCACACGAGCTGGATCTTGGGCGCCTCGAACAGGCCGTAGTGGTCCTCGCAGACAAAACGCGCGTTCTCGATGGCTTCCTGAGCCAAGTCCTTGACGTACGTCTTGGTGCAGATAATACCGACATAGGACGGGTCCCGGTAGTGGCTCTGATCGGTCAGGGCGATGTGCTGCCCGATCAGCATGCGGATGCCGATGCGTGACATGTAGAAGCGATCGAGGAATGACTGGATATTGTTGTCGATCTGCATCCGTTGCCGCTTGCGCTTCCACTCGAGGATGCCCTGCGCCATGGTGGTCACGACGCTATCGTGTCTCCTCTTGATGCGGTGCAGTGTCTGGGCGAACCTCTTGTTGTAAAGCTGCAGCTCGGGCGGCCAGTCTCCCGTGTCGTCGACCATAGCGAAGTATCTTCTTGTTGCGGGGAACTTCCCCTTTGACCAGCCATTGTTGACGGCGTTTTGCTGCGACACTGGCGTCCACGAGTTGTACTGGCCCTCCTCGATGCTTGGGTTCGGTGTCGCCTCGCTCAGCCATTGGTTTCCTTTCCCTCCGGTTATTTGCGCGGGCTTCATTAATCTCTCTCGTACATCTCTGGCGAGGTTCGGTCTTGGTAGTGTTGTGATTTCCTGGACGCCAACAAGAATTTCTGGTGAGTCATGCAATTCTAACCCCCCCCTCCCCTACGCGCTCGCTCCACAGACCCAGGGGCAACAAAGCGACAACAGCCTTCTGTAAAAACCATACCTCGAACGAACTGCGCATACCAATCTGCCACCTTCTTCACCGATGGCATCTCATTAAGGCCATCGGGCAACGTCTCGAGCTCCTGGACGCGGTGGGCGAGCCGTATGGGGAGCTCTTCGGCGAGGAACTGTGAGGCGCGGAATAGGGTACCTGGGTTACTTAGAATATGGGATAACCAAAACAAAAGACAGAACTTGACGAGGCTTCCACAAACTTACCACTGGATGGCTTCTCGCCAAACTGGACCATCTGGCGCAAGCTTACCCCGGTGGCAGGGAAGCTTGCATAATGCCTGATGGTGTCCATCAACTTCTCGCTCTTTTTCCACGACATGACTGCGGCTCAGAGAGGACCAATTGGTGTGGTGATATGTCTCTAGCTGGGCTGGCTGCGGTGTGTTGTGTGGTAGTGGTGCAGGTGCAGCATGAGGCGCTCACTAGGCAAAGACGACGCAACAAGAGTGGACTCGAGGCGGGCAGCAACGGCTTTCTCGGTACGGGTACGGGGGTCCGGGGCCTAGAGAAAGAGAGGCTTCTGTGACTTCGCTACAGCCGAGGCAAGGCAAGCGGATCCGGCTGTCTCCCCAATGACGCAGCGCACCGGTGTGCCGGAGGCTTTTCGGTTGAAGTGTGGCTTCAGTGGGTGTTCAGTGATGTAACCGCCTGTAGGAGATAACAATCTGTGTTGACAAGTCAAGTGCCGGATAAGAACAATCCTGTCAAGGACGGGAGTCAAGACAGAGTCAGGAGTAGGAGTAGAGAAAGTGGTAAGTGGTGTAGTAGGAGTAGGAGGAAGACGAGGTCAGGTAGGTAGGTAGGTACCGGGAGGGGTGTCAGATGTTCATGTGCTTTTCCCGGGATACAGGCCGTTCCAGGGTTTTTGGTGGTGACTCGATGGGTTGTGTGGCGCCCCGCTAGCTGAATAATGACGGACCGCTGTGACGATGCAGAGCCGGATTTGTGCTGCTGTACCCCACATCGAAGCTCCCGTCCGCTGCGGGGCATCTGTTTACCCCTTCTTGGCTCCCTTTCACAATCCATGGATATCACTTGTCTTGTCTGTATCACATATATCTGGCATGTCTCGATTGCTCTCTGCAATATCTGAATCTCAGGACCCTGCAACGGTTTTTGTCTTGGGGCCTCGTTCCTGTCGCTCCCGCCGGTGCCTCACCGGCTACCTGCTGGATATCTGTTCTGTCTGGCAGCTAATGATTAATCTACAGTTATTCAACCTCCAGTTGACATCATGATCTTGACTCAGCACTCAGGCATTGGAGATGACTTGGAGAACAACCCCACAAAAGACTTCAGACAAATATGGCGCATACATTCAAACTGTTGATATCTCACAAGATGAACAGCCGATGATCCTCCTGTCTCGTTGATGAGCTGGCATCAGACGACAGACAGGTCGGAGATATGTCGCTGTTCCGTCGCATTTCGACATCCGAACGGCTCGGTAGAAGAGGTCCTGCATCCCCGGGCATGCGGAAGATTGCTGGGCGACAGCAGCCTCATCAGCTGAAGAGGGTTGCCCTGTTACACCGAGCTCACCTTGGGAGTTCACCTTGGTTGCTCACCTGGACTGCTGACCTTGGCCGGGTCTTGGCTCAAGCAGTAAAGTGGGGCAGCCGTTTGAAGCCTCACGATTTGCTTGGCTCAACTCACCACCGCATCGGTGTTGTTGCTGTGTGGTGTACGGTGTACCTCTCATAAATGACCACCCAACGACCTGTGAATGCCGCCCTCAATGTGAATCCATCATATCCAACTGTCGCGGTTAATCAGAGGAGGACAGTTTTTGAATACCACCAATGTCTTGACAACCTGTTTCCATTAACAACTAACGACGTTACGACGACTTTACAAGCCCTTGTGTTAATAACCCCGTTTTTGTAAACAAAGACAGCACCATGTCCGGCGATGAAAACACGGACGAGTGGGAACCCATACCATCGCTTTCATCACTTTCGCCGTTTTCCTCCCCCGCTTTGTCCTTTTTGCTCCTCAGCAAGACCGATTTGGCCCACGATTCGGATCATCCGAGTTTTCACAGTAGTAGGCACGATGATGATGTCTTGTCTCACACACCACCACCCGCCACCACTCCCCGACCACCCAAAACACCCCCCCTTCTCACACCTTCCCCACCATCTACTTCCCGGTCAATGCATGGTTCTCATCTTCGGACTCCAACACAGCCATCTCCCCTGCAGCTGAGCAGTAGTGTTGTTGGGTTGGGTCTTGGTCATCTTGGGATTGGGCCACCGATGGTATCGCCGCTGCAACAAAAGGTTCCTGCTTGGATGTCGGCTGGCCATCATGAGGAGGTTATTGAGGAGGAGACGAGCATTACTCATGATGCGGATGATGAGGATGAGGAGGATGAGAGGGATGAGGGGGAGGTTATGAATAGGCAGAGTCTGATTTATGATCGAGGGGTTGATCATGAAGTCGAGGAAGAGCAGCGGCCTGAGAGGAGTGAGCGAGACATCATGATGAGATTGAGTCAAATCTACGGCCATAAATTTGAAGATGAGAGTGAGAAGGATGAGCCACGAGGAGAAAAGCAGGCAGGTTCTCAGCCATGACAGAGAGGCTGATGATGAGGATGAGGATGAAGACGACGATGGGGAGGAGGATGGGACTGATGAGGAGGATGAGGTTGATGAAGAAGATGAAGGCGAGAACGGAGCTGAATATGAAGATGGGGATGAGCAGGAGTCAGACGACCAAGAATTTGGGGGATGGGCAAAATTCCTGCTTATGAACCAAGGAACCGACCGAGGAAAGCGAAGGGGTGAAAACGGAGGGGCAGCGGGTTTGTGGACAGGCAGAGCGTTGTTTACAACCCACGACCTCATGATGAAAGTGAAGACGAGACAAACGAGCAGGTCATGAACAGGCAGGACCTTTTCAGGGATCAGGAAGGCGATTATCAAAGTGACGGTGACACAAATCAGCACTCCATGGACAGGCAGGGCCTTATCTGGGAGCAACAACACGATCATCATAGTGAGGGTGACACGAACAACGAGGTAATGAACAGGCTGGATCTTTTTCAGGCTCAGGCAGGCGATGACCGAAGCGAGGGCGATACGAATGACGAGGTCATGGAGAGGCAAAATCTTCCCTGTGAACGGGAAACCGACAGACTGCAGCAGAGTTTTATCTACGACCACGACCAACCGACCGATGAAATCACCCAAAACAGCAAAGCGATTCTGGTCGACCGCCTAGAAGGCTTGCTCCACCGATTAGCAACTTCAAATCCAACAGCCGACCTCGACACCATCGACATCTTACATGCCAAAGTAGACGAAATGGAAAGAGCCCTCTCAACCACCTCGCCCAGGAAACCAAACACATCTAGGAGGCTATCATCAGAACTAGAACCCCTCCAACACTCCCAGGAGACCACCGCCCACTCCTCCGCCCAAGAACACCCCAACCAATCCCCCACCCACACCAGCAACATCAACCTCCACCAGTCCATAGAATCAATGCCCGACACCCTCTCCCCCTCCGCCTCCCTCGCCCAACTGCGCCGCTCCCTCATCCTCCCCCCCGCCCTCGCAACCACACCACCGCCCTGGCTCCTGCCGTCAGCAGTCCTCTCCCCGATCAAATCAAGCGAGATTTTCTCTACTTCAATCTCCTCCCCAACCCAACCAGAACTCGACGCAGCAGCCGAAGCCACAAACGAAGCCCTCGAAGCAGCCAAGGAAGCCGCCCGGGCGCACTCGGAAATGACGGAGCGGATCGCCGCCGAGGCGGACGAGTTGCGACGGGATCTGGCGGTCGTGGTGGAGAGGTTGAAGAACAGGAGGGAGGAGACTGATGTATGCCCCCTTTTCTCCCTTGGGTCTTGAATATATGCTGATGATGACGATGTAATCTTTTAGCACATCCACACCCTCCTCATCCAACGCGCCGAGGCGGCTGCCGAACGGATTTTGGATCTGGAAAAAGAGCTTTCCGATCTGGAGGATGACCTTGCGTCTAGCGAGTCAGAGCTGAGGCACTTGAGGCTGAAGCTGAGGGCGGTGGAGACGCTGGTGGGGGAGTTTGTCGACCCGGACGAGACGGACCCGGAGCTGTTTAGGTGTATTGAGAACTGGAAGGAGGATTGGAGGGTGGTGAGGGAAAGGATGAGGGAGCGGAAGAGGGGGAGGAAGGAGAGGAGGACGAGGTTGAGGAGGAGGGAGATGATGGGGGTGGGGAATGAGGAGGTGGAGGAAGGGGAGGAAGAGGGAGAGAGTACGTTGACTAGTTTGGGGGGGGTTGGTATGGGGGAGCAGGGGAAAGGGTTGTGATTTTATGGAGAGAGCTTTTTGTATGTGATACCCTGTGAGTACCTACCTACCAAGCAAGTTTGGAGTTTTAGGGTTGATATGGGTTGACTAGTCTCAATTATTAAATTTCAACAGGTTGAGGTTTTTATTTTTCATTTTCATTTTCATTTCTTTTTTTTTTCTTTCCACAATAGCACTTTTGAGCTTAAATATCGATTATATCCAAACGGGAAGTATCCAAAATCCCTTCCCTCCCAGAAAGAACAGCAGCCTCTTTTCTCTCAGTCAATATGAATCCTCCACAACTCCCTCCCACCCCCACTAACAAACTCAGTCCGGGTATGCATCATGGCAAAGTCATCACTCACCACCACATCCCCCTTGCTCCACGCGTGCCGGTAGCACACCCGCCTGTCATACAGCAAATCACCCAACACGCCCCTCACAACCTCATCCGTCAACCCCATCCCTCCCTGTCCCCTTTCCGAAATTTTCAGTCTGCAATTCATCGGCCCAAACTTTGTCTTTGACTTGGGCCAGTGCTCGTGATACCTCAGACAGGGCAGTTTCGTCGTGGGGTGCTCCACCACCAGCGGCAGACCCGACAGGCTTACCCCCCCGAACGCAGTCGTGTTCAGCGACATGGTGCACTCTTTCAAGACATCCAAGCTAACAACATGCTTGTAATTCTGTTCCAGATATCGAAACAGCAACCTGCTCGCGGCGAACAGTGTCAAGCCCGTGTTGGAAGGGGAAGGGGTGACGGCAACAAACATCTGAAACCTCGGCGGTAGAGAACTTATCTTTCCCGTCTCCGGATCTTGCGTTGTTTTGAAGACACCGTCGTAGTGAAACGCCATTTTCTCTGCCGATAGGGAAGAGACAACTGGGTTCCCCTTCTCGTCAAATTCTGTCCCGACGTCTTTGACGGACATGATGACTTCGTACCGGCCTGGCCAGCCGAGGGTGGTGCCCATTTCTTTGGCTTTTTGGATGAAGAGGTCGCGGTTGGTGGTTTGTTTGAAGCCTCGGAGGCAGATGGGGGAGTTGTGCTCTGCTAGGGCGCGGATGGAGAGGATGGGGATGGAGGTGATGGGGAGGGAGTTGGGGACGAGGGGTTGGATGAGGAGGCCGCAGGGGTAGAGGGGCTGGATGAAGACTTGGGGGGAGTCCCAGGAAAAGGGGGATTTCTCGCGGTAGTAGCTCCCGTGGCCGGAGTGGGAGAGTATGAGTTCGAAGGAGGGGTCAGAGTCGAATTGGGAGCGGGGGAGGGAGAGGATCGTGCCGTCTGCTTTGAGGCCTAGGCAGCAGTGCCAGGGGGTGGTGCCGGGGGTGGTGTTGGGTAGGAGGCTGATGGGGAGCTTGGTGTTGGTTTGGGTTTTGGGGTTGGGGTTGGACACTGAGCCCTTCGGGTGAATAGACAGACGGAGATGGTTGGGAAAGCGTTCTCGAACAGCCCTCGCAAAGGCGTCGCCTCGCATGAGCATGCTTTTGGCGATGTGCTCGGTGCCCCTCTTGAACTTTGACTTTGACCGGTCCGAACCCAAGGGATAGACATGCCTGAGGTCTGTCTCGAGGAACTTGATGTACCCGCGGTACGTCATGCAAGTGTCCTCGTTGCAGCAGATCTCAACCGAGGCGTCAAAGTCAGGGCGGCCAAAGGTGTTGAGGAGCGCCCTGCGAAACTCGGTGGCATTGGCGACGTATGTGATCTCATCCAGGTCATTTCCGGGAAACACATGGAGAAGATCTTGGAGACGAGAGAACTTGATGTTGTTGCCGAACCCCTTTTCGACAGCGAGGTCACGGAGTGCTTGACCATATGCCCAGACATGTTTGTCGGGAACGCCCAGGAGGTCGTTGTATACCAGCCCATCGGAGATAATGGTCAGCTCTGCTCCTGGGGGGTAGATGTCCTCAATGGCGGCACACAGCCCGTTCAAGTGGGCCAGGGCAAACTGCTCTGCCATATCGGGAAGACGGCCGAGGACCTTGCACTTGTCGTTTGGGGACTTGAAAGGAAAGGCGGGGAGACACATCTTGATGGTCTGATTGGCCCGGACCTGGTCGTAGACGAGAACAAAGAACTTGAACATGTCGTGGCTATCCGAGGTCTCAGATCCCAATCCCGATCTGTTGAGACGGTATTTGTAGATGACCTTGAGGACAGCCGACGCTTTAATAGCTAGAGCTTCGTCAAACCCAGCCGTGCTGTTGAAGGCGTAGGTGTTTGCCATGTTGAAGTGGACTCAGACACCCAGAGCACAGGGCAAGGGTGAGAAGAAGCAGATAACAAAAGCTCAACGAGCACTGAATGACAGTTGATTAGGGGGTAGTCTCAAAGAGAAAAGCAATGCCGTGAATGCTGAAAACCTGTTGAATCTCGAGAGCAGATGGCACGGAACAGCCAGACTGTTTTGATTCTTATACTTCCATGCCCCCCTTGTTCTTCATCGATCGCCGAGGTGGCTTCCCCCCGAGTCCTCCTTTATAACAAACATCTTGACTCTCTTCGCCTCCTCCCTCGCCAGATCCAGATCACTGGGCAACACGGGAACTTGCGGGGTTGTCGGGGTGTCACAGTATACACTGTGCCTTGGTGGACGTTGAGCCACCATTCTGGTTGCTCCATATCGTGGATATGTTCGGGCTTCAGTTGCCAAGTTAGTTAGTCTCCTTGTACTACTTTGTCAATCGATATCGGACCATAGCACGGGGCCAAAATCCACTTGATTCGACCAGCATGTGAAGGCTGTGTGAGCTCGAACCTCTGATCAAACATACCAACATGACAACCTTCTTCCACCTCTAGCCAAACTCGCCCATCGCAGCTGCGACGCCACCATCACCGCCTAAACTCCCAAGGCCCCTCTATCTCCAACCCTCAGGCCATTTTGCCCTACCCCATGACCAAGTCAACAGCTCCCTTACCTTAATTACTAGCTTAAGCTGCTCTGCCACCTCGTCACAGCTTCGAGCTTGCTTGCTTGAGGTGGGTAGAGTCCGAATACGAGTCTGCCGTGCTTCTTTCAAGGCCTGAAAACAGCTGCCTGTCTTTCTTGAACCTCCCTTCGCAACCAAAGTTGGTGGTGGAAGTGGTCACGTGAATGCTCACCTAATGCACCCTCTTTCTTTCATCACCAACGGCCTAGAAGCCAAATGCCGGTGCTTCGTTGACCTCTGGCCAATCATACTTTGTCGTGGATGTCTCGGTTTGTCAACTATTGTCTCCCTAATGTTGATATATACTTGCTGGGCGAGTATTAGTGATGGCGCAGCCTTGTCAAGGCGGGATACCTAGGGGTGGGGATGACTTCACCAACGACAAGAACTAGTGTTTATCATGTGAAAGAGTTTTACCCAACTTTTATACAACACTTGTTGTTGGAATTCGGTGAGCAATGTCAGCCAAACGTGGCAGCCGATAACCTGTAGTCGGGCCTCGAGTGAAACATCTTCCTCTACCTCCGGGTAATGTACCCGCGTTAGGAGTGGTCAGACCCGGGGCCCGAAATACCCCTTTCACGCAGCAAAGGCTCGGACTGATAAAACCTTTCAAAGTAGGTCAAAATAGGTCCTCGCCGAAACCCTTCAAAGCAAATCAAATACGTACCTCGCCTTCTCCTTGCGTTATAACCTGCCCTCATTGAATCTATACGCCAAATTCAACACTGTGACCCGGATGGATATGCGCGCAAAAGGAAACTTCTGATTGGTCCTTCTGGATTGACTGATAGTTTAGGTTGGCACCTGCGCCGTGTCCCCTTACAGAACCCTGACTCAGACAACCAGGGTTGCGGCCGTGTGTGTTAACGTGCATCACCAACAACACCAGCATAGCCACGTCACCCGCTTGCGACGACATCCACAAGCAGTCAGCTGTCTAACTACGCTGGTGTAGTGTTGTTGGTGACAGTCATGCCACCGGTATTCACTCCAGGAGCAGTCGCCGAAGCTATTCCAAGACATCATCCCCATGCGCAACCCTAACCCCCACCCTTGATTCCCAGCTGTAAAAGGGGGTTGTCTGAAAAGAAAGAAAAAAGGGGTTGTACATACCTCAAATATCTTCGAACTATCCCTCCAAGTCTCTACCCAATAACATCCCACCCTACAGCCCAAAACCACCCGTACTCACCACCCTTTCCCCCCAAACCTCACCCCAGACCCCGAAACCCAACCGCGCTCGCGGGCGAAACCACCGCCTCCCCACCCACCCTTACCTATTTCACCACCGCTACCGCCTCTCCCGCAGCAGATGGAAGAGGACAGCTAACTGCGCTTGCTGCCCCTCCTCCTCCTCTCTGCCCCTCCTCCTCCTCTCTGCCCCTCCTCCTCCTCTCTGCCCCTCCTCCTCCTCTCCCGGGTAATCTCTGGGACGGTTGGGAGGAAGGCATCATGTGCCAGCCCAGCCAACATGGTCGACAACAACAATGCCATCGCGGCCAACATGAAATAGATGAAGCTGGAGAAGAGAGGTGATGTTGGTGCAGAGTGCATGTAGCTCACGTACCCGAGAAAGGGAACGTGGGTTGGGTGGCGGTGTATTGATGCTGAGGATTTGTCTTGGTGGGTTGCGGTGGGCTGGATCGTGGCTGTCTGATTCTCGCAAGCAGGAAAGACAAGGGTGGGAGTTCTACATCATATCGACGGCATGAACCTCTTTTTTTGAAAAACGCCACGCGGGCGAATTTGTTGCCTCTTGCCCCCGGGCGCCCTCCCCCCCAGAATTTCAAGGGGGGGCGGAGGGTCGGGATTCGCG